TAAACAAGTCTTCTAATTTTTATTTTACCTTCAGATTTACTGGTAAAACTTCATAATCATCATTTGAATCACTATCTTCAATTCTTCTATAATTAATATTTTCTAAAATTTATCATTTAATAAATTAGCCTATTCTTCTATTATTCCTGACTATTGTGTTTCATTTAATATTGATAAATTATTATCACCATCATTAAATACTTTATCATTTATTTTCAATTCATTATTAGATTTAATTGTATTATTTAATAGTGTAGATGATTCTTTTTGTTTTTTTGCAATATCTTTAACCTTATATTCTTTGATAATTTTAATTTAAACTGGCTCATTACTAAAACCTTTTTATAATAAAATTAGAAAATATTAATTAAGTTATATATACATAATAAATTTAACTTACTTGTAATCAATTACGCTTTTTAAAATGTAAAAATTCAATTATAGAAAATAATCTTTCATAAGATGCAGTATTAATACATATTCTAAATAACCTATTAGCAAATATATCTAATTCTAATTTTACATTATAAACACTTTCTCACCATTCAATAATATCATTAAATTGTTTAAATGTTTCATTATAAAATGGATATTTTTATTTTTTAAACCTTTCCAACTCCTGAAAAATAGTTGTTGAATCTTTTTAAACCAAGATTTATAGTAATATATTAATCATCAACCAATATGTGAATATGTTAAATTTTTAACACCAGATGATACTTTTCTAATTGATATTTTATATAAAAAGCTAAAGAAAGTATGAATAATGGTTGTTCTAACTAGCCTAATATAATTTAAGATGTTTAGTCATATGATTATGAAAGTGAATTAGTATTTATTATTTTATTATATTCATAATATAACCAAAAGAAAGTGCTAATTGAAAAAGATGTGCTTTATCTTGTTACATAATATTTAAAATTCCACAAAAAGAATATAAAAGAGTTGTAATCTTTTTTAAACTTGTCCAAAAGGTAGCATTGTTAATAAAAATAGAAATATCAGATGGTAAATGAAGTTCATTTTCATTAGCATCAAAATTAACTATTACTAAAATCTAAAAATAAAATTAAAAAAAATATATAATTAAACTTTACCATAAGTGTATCTTTTGTTTTAAAAGAGAATTAAAAGCATAATAATAACTATTTTATCATATTAAATATAGGCTTATAAGAGCAATGGTTTTTTTTATAAAGTTTTAGTTATTCATCTCAAAGTTTTATTAATAAATAAAATTAATTTAAATATTAAATAATATACAGTGGTGTGCAAAAAAAATGGCAATTTTTAAAATTATGATAATTATATAAATATTACACTAATTAAAACATACAATATATTATTTTAAAACTAATAAGTGATAAATTGTATTTAAAAAAAAATTATGGTATTTATTTACCATTTTTTTTTCCAATAATCCTGTTATAATATCATAAATTGAATTTATAAAATCAATTAGAAGGCTTTTTTATATTTATTTTTTTTTACTTTTATTCAAAAAACATTTAATTTACTAAATTTTTTTAGCCTATATAACTTTACATTCCTTTTAATAATTAAGGTAATAGTTTTTAATAAGTTTTGGATCTAGATTATTAAAAGAATAATCCATGACTTTTAAAATACTATTTTCAAAAAAAAATTAGTAAAATATCAAATTACTTAATAAAATGATTAAAATGCTATCTTAATAAAGAATTTTTTACATTTAATCTCTAATTTATTTCAATTTTTTTAAGTTTTTAGTAATAGTTTTATGTTAATCTTTATGAATGAGTATATTTTAGTAACATTGTATACTTCTTGCCTTCAGAAATGTAATCTCATTTAATGTTAAGTTTTTTATCTAGATAAAATTACTTTAAAGTTTAATAAACTAAAATTTTTATTAAGGTATAAGAAAAGTTTTACTTGAAAGTTATATCTTAATTATAAGGCTTTCATTTGCATTTTTATTTATGTATGTATGATTAAAATTGAAGAAGTTACAAAATGATGATCTGACATAGTAAAATTGCCATTTTTTTGACCATCACTGTAGTTATATATATAGGTTATAAATTCATGTAAGTCAGCAAATAATAATAATACAAAGTCAACATTATATAATAAGAGAGCATATTAAAACAAGCAGTTTTAAGTTCTACAAAAATATTGAAATATTTCTAAAAAATGAAGCTGTTAAGCTTAATACAACTAATAATAATTAAAAATCCTGCATTTAATAATATAAGTAATAGTAGCATGATAATGCTAATAGATTCACATTAGCATCTCTAGATTTGTTAATAAAAAAAATAATAAGGATTTATAACTTTGAATAGTAAATCAATTTCTTTGTCTAGTCTGAGATTAAAAATACATAAAGATAGATATAAGTAATCTACTTAATTAAAGCTTAAATAAAGATCTATAATAATATAGCTTATCTGATTATAAGCAAATTAATAATTAAATAATAATATAATTATTTCATCTAAACATGATTATTATACAAAAGTTAGGTCTCATCTTTTTTATGAAGATTTTAAATTATAAGTTACTAAATATTTATATGTGTATAAGTTTAAATTAAAATTGTTAAATTTGTAAAATTTATTGAGAATAAGGTAATTCCTATTTTTAGGATAGAAGAAAAACAGTTATTTCATATATAATTCACAAATAATTGCATATATTTGGTTAAGAATATAAAGACTACTCAAAAAACATTTATTTTAGTGATCATAAATGTGAAGATATAGTAATAGATAAGCATCTATTTTTATAAAAATAAGCAGAATTATGTAAACAAATAGCTACTTATAAAGGTGAAAATTTAAATCAAATAATCTTATTTATATTTCTATATAGTATTTCTGAAATCATTTTCATTATCCATTATGAATTAATCTTTTATGCTAATAATAATATAATTAAAGCTTAATGAAAGTTGACTTTATCAATCAAATCATAAAACCTCAATATTTATATAAGTGATTTTTTTTGCAAATCTATTGGATTATTCTAAGAAAATATAATTTTTTTTTTACTTGCTAAAATATTGAAATGCTGAAACTAAAGAAACCATAAAGAAACTATATTAAACACTTATTAAAATTTTGTTAAAACTATTGAAAAGATTTAAACAAGTATTTTTAAATGACTCTAACTTTATGAAAGAGATTAATAATTCATTTTCTAATAATAGGTGATGTATATATATCGAAGATTATATTACAATGTATCTTGATATGAATTGTAAAGGTTAGTGGATAAATAAAGATATTATTAAGCAAATAAATAAATAAATTATTTTATTCTAATATTTAAAATTATTTATTTGAAAAAAGTTATACTATTCATATTCGATAATAATAGCAATCATAATACATTTGTTAAAGATACTGTATATTAATAGTTTTAAGAATAAATATAAAAAATAAAAAAATAGCTATTTATCTATAATGATAAAATGTTTGATGGGTTGGCTCACTTCATATTATGATATTTATAATATTGATATTATAGTAAAACCTAAAAATATCTGATGAGTTCTTAAGGAATATGATTTGTGAATACTGGATTTAAAAAAAAATGTAATATTATACATAATATAATCCTAATCTAATCAAATAGAACTGTTACATAATATGTATTTTTTAGCTTAATATGACTTTGCATCATAAAATATACGTATACAGGAAGTAAGTTACATTAGTATAATTAATATTCATTATTTAAAATATAATAAATAGTTTAAAATACTTATCTTTTGATTATTGAGACAGCAGAATATATATGTATATTCTACTTGTACTTCGTACTATAAATTTAATTATATTGAATATTTTTGGATAGAGGTAAAATAATACTTACATTTTTACTGCAATTATTTTTTTATATACTTAAAAGAGTTATATTATATGCATTAGATTTAATTAGCCTGACGAAAATTTGCTAGTTCTCACAATCATTATACATATTATATAAGTGTATATGAACTTAGACTATTAGTAAGATAATTTATCTTTATAATCAAAAGATACTAATCTTATTTATCATAAGGTTTTTATTAAAGATTAATACCATAATTAAAAAAATGATGCAATTGAGTTGCAACTTGTGATGTAATTAAATTTCCTTATAATGCAATTAAATTACAACTTAATTAAAATTTGAAAATAATTATGGGGACCGTCTTTAGTTCTTATAACCATTTTAAATAAATTTAATGATTGTAATTTTTTTATTTATATGCAGTTATGTAATATATGTATTAATCATATTGATTTTACATTAGTAATGCTAAAAATACTTCTATTGCTATTAAAATTAGCATTAAAAAAATCTAACTAAAATAAATTATTATAATAAAACAAATTAAACAAATATATTATATTAAAGACTATATTAAATGTTATCTAATAACATATTTTTAGTGATTATATAATTAAAAAAAATTCTTTAAAATTAAAATCAATAAAAATTATTAAATATGACTAAGCTATTTGTATCTTAATATAAAAATTTTATCAACAATTAAATTTGGTATTTTTAAATATTAATTAATTAAACTTATAATAGATAACTGAAACTGTCACTTTATTTTTTAAAATTTTCTTTTTTATATAATCATCATAACTTATGTTATTGTATTTATTATTTTATTAAAATATAACTATGTTATAATAAAATTAATATTATTAAAGGTAGCTGTTCTAAATTATAAAAAAAAAGTCTATATAATTAAAAGAAAATAAAAAAAAATATTTGTATGAGAATTAAGGAATTTTTTACAATTAATACAAAATATTTATTATAATATAAGAAAAAAATATTAATATAATAATTTTAAATAACACTTAATCAATAATTTTTAATAAATTACCCACTTTATTAATTGTATTATGCTGTATAAACTATATACATATTCTTTTTTTTTTTTTTAAAAAAAAAAAGCCTAAAATTAATTCTAAAATAAATAAATTATTGCAATCATAAGATATTAATAAAGCTCATTTTTCATAATTTTTATCATTATCTTGTTCTAATTGTCTATAATCATTATTCTGTTGTATTTGTTCATATTTGGATGTTTTCAAATTAGATAAAGAAGGAAACTCTGAACCAGCCAAATTGGCTAAATCACCATCATTTTCATTTGCTGTTGTAGAAGGTAATACTAATTCAACACTTGATCTACTCATAAGATCATCATGATCTTCCATATATAATAAAGGTCTGGATGAAGAAGGCGGAGTTGCGGGTGCACTTCTCGTTGTTAATGTTTGATTTAATCTTCCAAGCCTTAAATCTAAACTTGACGGTTTTGCGACATTACGATTATATGGTTTGGATACACTACTTAAAGCTTCATCAACTCCAAAAATTGAAAATTCTGATCTTGTAAGTTGTCTCTCAAATTGAAATAATCTTAATGCTGTAACTGCCTGTACGTTTTGTTTCTCTACCGCAATATCAACTGGAATCTACATATACGAAATGTAAGTTACATATAATCTTAATAAATGAATTTCATCAATTTAATATTTAGTTACCTTTCCATTTCGATCTTTTAAATGAATATTGGCCTGTCTCTTCAAAAGCGTCAATAATAATCTTGCGTTATCAGTAGCTGCTGCATGGTGTAATGCACTCCTTCCATTATTATCAATTTCATTTATATCACAAGACCACAAAAGTAAAAATTCTACTGCAACATCATCACTTCTTAAAATTGCTTGATGTAATGCCGTTGTAGAATTTTCTTGTTCATTTTTCCAATCCACGTCTGCTCCAAGAGATAAACTTTTTATTGCTTCAAAGAGGTCACAATTCGACATTGCTTTCCAGAAAATCTATATATTATTAAGTATAACTTAATACAATATATAATTATAAAGTTACCTGGTAAACAACTTAATTATAGGCTCACCAAATTAATTGTAACCGAATCTTCATTATCATCATTTCTAATAATAAATTCCTTTTGAACATATTTATCAATAATGAATTTCTCCCTGTCAGCACTGAATATAATTATATTAAACAAGAGAAAAAATTGTTAAAATTTTCTTCTTCTGAATAGATTTAATAAATAAAGTTTCCTAACCGTTCCCACGAAAAACAATTAACCAGCCTTTCATCATCAACAGCAAGTTTTGCCTCATAGATTTGATTGGCCTTGATATTCCCCAACTTGAGCATAACTTCAATTGATTCAGGCTCCCATTTATCAAGTTGTAATGATTTAACCTTACTCACATGCACACCTAAACTCCGATGAATTCCCGAACATTCTATACATAGTAAGGTACCAAAATTTGTACTAGCCCATTGTGGGTCTAAATATAATTACGTGTTAGAAACTTCCCATAATGATATAAATTAAAACGTGTAACGATTATTTATTAACTACCTTTAGTTTTGCAATCAACACAAATATCATTCCCTGGTAATTCTCTTATCTTTGAAATTGATTGTTTAGAAAGTTGTGTCTCCTCATTAGTCATTTGCTTATTTAAATTAAACTCATTATCCATATCTTCCTGAGATACCTCCTAAATAAATGATTTATTAAATACGATAACTTGAATCATATTTAGATAAATAAAATGAACACACCTGCAAATTTCTTTCTGAATTCGGTTTTTGATCAGCATAAATAGCATTCGTTGCCGCAGCTTGTAAGCAATTTATCCAATCGTCCAATTCTTCTTGATTCTCGGCTTGTAATACATAAGTTCTTGAAAAGATTAAAAATATATAATTAAATTATCTAATAGAACAATATCGAATAAATAGAACTTTATTCACCTGTTGGGAGATATTATCTCAAAACAAAACCTCCTATCTGAATTATTCAACATTGGTTTAATATGACAAACTCTTAAAGAAATCGAGGTATGTTCATCGTCATTTGTTCCCTATAAATATAATACTTAAATATTTTTATTTGAAAAGAAATAATATCCAAAAATAACTAACCACCTTTCCATTTCTGCTACAGTAATATAAATGTTCATCTGAAATGGTAAAATATTTACGAGTCCATGACTGTATCACTCGTTGATTTCCTTTCATGAACAAATATCCCGATTTGGTAGCAGATGTTGACGTATCATCTGGTTTTATTATTTTATAATCGGTGGGATCTTTGGGAGTACGTGTTGGATTATATGATTCTCTGGCTTCCTAAGAAAGAAAATCAAAACTTTGTTGTTAATGTTAATAAATTCATATTCATGATAAATAAACAACTTACATTCAAAAGCTTTTCCTTCAATACTTGTGATTGTGCAACATCATCGTTATATGATGTCCTAGCCTATACATATAAGTAAAGTATAAATATGATAGCTACATCTAAAGTAAATATTATAATCATAATTTACCTCTTGAAGTAATCCTATTAAATTAAATATTATAGCATTAATGGAATAATCAAATACGTGAAAAGTTATTAAAGTCAAAATTCTAATTAAATTAATCTTAACTTGTTACATCTTTCATATGTGGTTCCAAATCTTTCATAATATCATAACCTTGATGATAAAACGATGATTCGGTAAACATCAATGCTAATATCTATAAATAACGTAACCAAATTTTAGCTGTAATGATCTTTTATTCAAAAAATATATAAATATATATAATAAAATAAAAGAAATTTGCAACTTTACGTATTCCATAAATTCGAATTTCTTTTTTGCTTCTAATTCATTTATTTTCACTACATAATCTATATACCGATGATGGAATTCTCTTCGGGTGTACGCCACTTCAATTGATGCCTAAAAATCTATTATTAATATTACAGAAATAAAATAATAAAATAGTTGTATAATCCTTACATCAGCTATCATAGAGTCCTTAGGTCTTTTGCTCATATATCTGGAAAGAGCAGTATCAGCTTCATTACAAGACCTTTCAACATTTTTCTTTACTTCCTAAAAATATTTAGAGAATTAATACATCGATAAACAAAAATTTTCTTCAATTTCTCACACTTTACCTTTAAAGGAATTATTTCATTTTTAGCAAAAGCTTCTAATGGCTCTATGAACATATCATACATATGAGAGTTCTTTGAATGGAAAACTTCATCATTAATTGAACTAAATTAAGAATAACAGAAGAAATTAATTATACAATTACCAGAATTCTGCGGCTTCTTTCAACTTCTTGAAGAGAAAAGGCATACTTCGAAAGGACAGTTTCTATAATGTTGAATGAATCACATAATTAAAATTTTAACTCATCACATATATAATAAATATATTAAAGGTAGCTACTAATAATTGATTCGGGTTGTTGTTTTGCAAAATTCCCAAGTTCTTCGGCAAATTGAAGTTGTTTCGCCGTATACTCTAATACGAAGTGCAATTATAAAAAGGAGAAGTAAAGGATCAACAATTAATGAGCCGATAAATTAATGATAAAATAAAAAGGCCAAATAATTCCAACCTGAAGCTAATTCAACACTTGATCTTGCTAATTTAACAAGATTTTTTATAGTATTTTCGAGTCCAAAAACCGAACTTTCACAACCTGCTAATACTTTACGAAATTGTGGAGGATCTTCTTGACATAAATGAAGTTTTAAAGGAGCTGTCATATTTTAACGACAAATTGCGAAAACTATAAATAGCAAATTAAAAATAAAAACACGAAAAATACACCCTTATATTGTTTTTTGATCGTGTTACACGGGAATTAATTTTGGATATAACGTTTTTAATTTAGAAAAAAAAAGTTAATGAAAGGCGGGGAAATTAAAAGTTGAAAATCAGGATTTTTCCCGGCAGTTTCCCCCCCTTTCTATTGCAAAGACGCCATAAGATGTTCCGAGAAAGTTAAAGTGCAGAAATATAAAATATAATATGCTACATGTTCTTTCTTTTGCTTCTAATGATATAAAAATAAGAGAAGGCTGTGGCTATGAAAAAATCTGTATTGGATGAATCATCATAACAACAAGCCGTTTCTGATGGCTGACCAAATTACAATTCAGCCTCAAAAAAGATTTTGCAACGTATGGGTTTATGAATCAATGCGCGACATGTCATATAGCTTTCGTGATTATTTGAATATAAAAAAAAATCAAGAGAGACATAAATAGGGAGAGTTATGAGGCTCAATTTTTTTGTATTAACCAATTTTTTTCTCTCTAATTTTGAAATATGGGAGAAAATACGGCTCCCTTTAGTGATGAGGTGAATTGGAAATTTAAATAGTTTTTTTTAAATACTTTAATTAACAAATTTGTTCTTAATTAGAAGTCCCATAGAGGACCAAATGCAACATCTAGATTTGATACTATGCTTGATCGAGACGTAAAATTAAAATCGAAAAAATTTGCTCTAAATTACGAGGAAGAATTGGAAAGAATACAAATTATTATTATCAAAACAGATGATAACAGGGAACTACATTTGATAGATGAACAAGATAAACTAACTTATGATAAAATTTACGAGTTTGTCAAAATAAATCATGATGCCAAATTAATGGACGTCGTTGATCACTTTCGTAAGCATTAATAAAGTGATAAGTATCGTCAAGTTGGCGCAGTTTACATAAGTTGATAAAAAAACAATTTTCGCTTTTATTCTTTTGTCATATTATCGTAAATAGAAAATGATCCAAACAGCGATGCAATTGCTAAAATTGTGCTTGGATATAAATATCCCGATTATATCTTGAAGTTTATAGATAATTCAATATCTGAACATATTTCAATACCTGAACGAGAGCGACAACACAGACGCAGTAATTTCGAACGTTTGCTATTACGTTCTGGGCTCATTCTTGAACATGAAAAGGATTTACATTTGAAATGTACTTATGTAAAAGTTTTCGCACCATTCGAGAGATTATGTGAAGAAGCGAAAAACATTAGGCTCAAAATGCGTTTAGATGTAAATTTTTATTCATAATGGCATTCATTTGATAATTAGTATTTCATTTAATTAATTTAACTCAAATTTCAAATTCAGGATCATTATTTACCAACAATTGAAATAGACCCACCTGCAAGATCTTTCTTATATCCAATTACAAAATATTTTAAACATGAAATAAATTTAAATAAGGGATCCGCTTTTTTTAGAAGAGACCGGTTAAGACAATTTGAAGGAGCTGGTCCTGAAAAATCAATTGGCAAAATCATCTTGTATTTCTTTCCTTCTTCAAGAAGGATTTTAATGGTAATTATTGACTTTTCTTTTTTTTCACCTTTCATTGACTAATAAATAAGTAAAAATATATTTAGGTTAATCGAATAATTGGCACCGCAAATCAAATTCATATCAAAAAAGTACTTGATAATTCAGAACCGATCGTTTATAAAAGGATTATTAAATCATTATCCATAAAAGTATTGCACAAAAATAAAACTTACAATGATATTTATCCACTTCATGATGGTAAACCTGTTTCACCTTTGCCTTTAGAAGAGATGAATTTAAGAGCGAAACTAAATGAATTATGGGTCAAGTCTAAAAGAAGACAACCTTTAGAAACGATCAGACTCTATTTCGGAGAGAAACTGGCCTTGTACTTTGCTTGGCTTGGTAATTTTATTTATTACCTTATTTATTTGGATGACGTTTATTAACTCCCCCATTTCTTTAGGTTTTTATACTACGTGGTTGGCAATAGCGTCTATCATTGGAGTAATTGTTATTATCTACGGATTATTAGAATATTTTGTGTAGGTTTATTTCAATTTATAACAATTTTATATGCAATAATTTACTCCCTTTTTTTTCTTAGCTTTGGATTTGGTTCAGAAAATGCAAACCAAGATGTTTCTATAATATGGGATAATGCTCTTACAGCCCCCTTTGCTTTATTCATGGCCATTTGGTGTAAGTTGGTAACTTATCTATTTTTTTTGCCACATGTCACGTGATATATGTTCACGATATATATTTTCTAGCAACATGTTTCTTGGAAACTTGGAAAAGATTTAATACCGCGATCCAATATGATTGGGATGTTTTGGAATATGAAAAAGAGGTAACCCGTAATAGAAATTCAAGTTTATAAACTGATGGTCATTGTTAAGTCTATTTTATGAATTCAAAGGAATTGCCAAGGCCAGAATTCTACGGAACCGGTTTGTTTGTTCTTTCCTTTTTCGATTTTCCTCCTAAAATATAAAACATTATACTATATTCATTTTTACTTAATACAGAACTAAGAAGATCGCGGATTACAATGAAACAAGAAATTCATTTTCCATTCAAAGAAAGATTCCAAAAAATATTAATCTCTGTTTTTGTTGTTTTGATTTGTGTAAGTATAGAAAAAAAAATATGATACGCTTAAGATTACAATAATTTATTTTAATAATTTTCGCGTATCTTTTGACAGGTTATGATAGTCATTGTGTCAGTTTCAGCTTTATTGATTGCCCCTAAACTTTGGATTAATCTTGGCTCATATAAATCATGGGTTACAGCAATTACCAATTTAATAATCATCTTTTATATGAACATGGTAAATATTTTGTTAAAAGAATGAAATTATTTGGATAAGTTTATATTTATCATTGTTTTTCTTAGCTTTACATGTATGTTGCGGATTGGTTGACAACTTTCGAAAACCATCGAACAGAAACTAGCTATGAAGGTTGATTTGTTTACTATTTAATTATTTTTTATAAAAATAAAATTTATCGATATTAATAGAAATTCTTCTAAATTTGGTTTAAGATTCATTGATTTTAAAATCTTACTTATTTGATTTTGTGAATTGTTATTCCGGTTTATTTTATATCTTGTTTTTTAAAGAAAAGGTAAGTTCAACCATTTTTTTTTTGTTTTTCATAAATATGTTCTTGAAAAAAAATAACACATATTTATTTTATTCTTTTATAAATAGTTTATTAAAAATATTATCAATCAAGAAGGAATAACAGGATGTGATTACACTAGTTGTATGACGGATCTTACAATTCAACTCACAATTGTCTTGGTTGGTAAACAAATCTTCGGGCAATTTAATGAATTCATTTGGCCGTAAGTTATTCTAATTTTTTTACCTTTGAGAGAAATAATTAATTATTAAAGATAGATTGTTTTAAATTGCTTCTTAATTTACAGATGGATGAGGAGTGTAGTCTATAAACGTAGGATACGAGAAGAATATGTGAGATATACAAGTTCTGGGGAACGTAAAGAGGAACCTCAATGGACAAGGGATGATAAATTATATAGCGCTTATGGAAGCGAAAGATCTGAATATGAAGAAATGGGTACATTGAAGGTTTTTTTTTGGTTTTCATTGAGAAAATCTAAAATGATATAACGATAATTTATTAACATTCATAGTTGTTCAATTCGGATTTATATCATTATTTGGAATTGCATTCCCTTTAACTCCTTTATTTGCATGGGCAAATAATGTATTGGAGATTCGATCTGATGCGTTCAATGTAAGGATGATTTTTTTTACATCTAATTTCTTTTCAAATTTCAAATAACCAATGTTTTTTTTTTGACATTTAGTATGTGTTTTCATTACAAAGAACAAATGGAATTCGAGCACAAGATATTGGAATGTGGGAAAAAATCTTAAGTTTTGTATCCCTATTATCAGTGTTAACAAACGCCATAATCATGGCATTTCATTCTACATGGATGAGAAATAAATTTACTAGACTTTATGGAAGTAACGAAAATCAGCTATTAGTTGCAAGATTGGTTTTTATTCTTCTTTTTGAGGTAGGTTATATACAAGTATTAAAAATTATCATTATTTTTAACGAAAATAATGTATTAATAAATTGTTTTTATTTCATAGCATCTCGTTTTTGTTGTAAAATTAGCATTTTCATATGTAATAGCAGATATACCGCAAGAAGTCCAATTTGCGATTGAGAGAGAAAAATACCTTTCCAAAATAACGTTAGAGGATGAATCACCTGCTTTGGATGAATTTTTTTCTGAAAGTCGTGATGATGATAGTTTATTTGAAGATGATGAAATAAAATTACCAAAAAGACGTAGACCTTTTACTGCTGATGATGATGTTTAAGAATATTGTTTTCACCGCAGCAAGATTTAGGCAACTTTACTAATCCTTTTTAAAATTGAAAGTCCTGACAATGACTATATTTGTGAATGATAATCTAATAAAATATACTATGACGTTTAAATGTCACACAAAAAAAATTTGTATTAAAAAGTATAAAAAGAACTATTATCCTGATTATCTCAATAAATTTTTTAAGGGAATCCTTCTTATTTTTCGTTAGATAACTTTTCCATATTTAGCCTCATTTCTTTGATTGATCTCTTTTTAGTATTAGTTAAAAGTATACAATGGAAATCGAACGGTTGGAAGAACCATACTCAATTTCTTTTAGAGACCCTGAATGGTTACTTACGGTTTGCAATTTATTTTTTTTTTTCCTTTTTTTTTTCTCCGTTTTTTTTTTAAAAAAACATTATTTTTTATATTTAGCATCACGAAGGATTGACTTCAGAAAATGCATTAGAATATTTTGCAGAATCTCCATTTTGGGATCCTCAAAGCAATAATGAAATTCTTAAAATGCAAACTAAATTTAATACTTTAAACTCTTTACCTGATCAAAGGCCTCCTTTGGATATAACGTAATATATCTGGTTTCAAAGCCATTATTACCGTATTTATCCTTGGTTTTATTTTTTTTTTTTTTTTATTCTTTATATTTATTTTAGGAAGATGATAGGTGTTGAATTCGTTATTGAGCAGGCAAATCCACCGTCTTTCTTTTTAATTAAAAAATGGAAGAGAATCAGCGAAACTGAAGGTACCCGATTAAAAATATATAAATTTTTTTTTAAAAAAATATGTGGACTATTTATTCTGATTATTGGTTTACAGCAATTCCTCTAGCAACTTATTATATAATTCGAGGAATTATATATCAAGCACCAGATTTACATACGTTAATTGGAAGACGAATTGTACGTAATTCTTAATGGACTAATATATATACACACATATATATATTCTTGAAATATTTAACTTTTAAGATTTTGTTTAGTATGCCAGTTTATATCACCTTCATAATGTTTTCAATAATATTCATGAACACGTAAATTTTCATCCTGCAACTGGTTACACCTGGAAAAGTAATGAAGATGATAGTCATGCAACTTTAGGAAATTCAAGGAGTATGCTATAGAAATGGAATCTTTTTTTAAGTGGGAATTTTAAATTGATATATACTTTGTCATTAGCCGCACCTTTGGTGGATAAAGATTTGAATGAATTTCGTCACGCAGCCGATATAGCATATTGTTCTGTTACACGTAGATTATTCGAGGAAAAAGAAAGAGCTATTGCAAGTGTTCAAGAAGACAATGAACGAGAACGTGAACGAATTAATGAAGCTCTGTTACTTCAACAAACTGCTCTGGAAGAAGAAAAGACTGCGGATGAAGTATGATCTTTTAAAATTTTTTTTCACTTTATAGTCTTATATGTTTTAAACTCACATAATATTCTTTTACTAAAGTCATCGGAGGGTCATACTACAAAGAAGAAAGGTAAATAAAAGAAATATATTATATATTATAATTTCATATAAAGATAAAATCTGATTTCAGTATATAATTCTAAATATTAATGTATAGATGGTAAAAAGAAGAAACGGAAGAGGGCAAGAATATCTGACGAATCAAAGACCGGAACAAAAAAGAAGAAAAGGAAGTAAGTATCAACTTCCATTTCAACTTTCGTATAACGAAATATTTATATCATATTAATACATATTTTTCAATTAGACATGAGAAGAAATCTCACAAGTTTTCAGATTCTGATACATCAATGAAGGATATTTCACGAAAGAATAGTAGTTCTATTTCTGGATCAACGCCCGGTGATTCTGTTACGGATTTTTAAATCAAATTTTTTTCTAAAGAATGTTGACTGGTGTGTTTGCGATATTTATATTTCTTGTTACCTTTACATCTTTATACTTTTTTTTTTTTTTTTTTTTTTTTTTGAGAACGGTAATCATTAAAAAAATTAAAGTTCAAGTTCGTAAATCTTTATCCTAAATGACATTCCATCCTTTTCTTCTGAAGGTGCCTAGCCCGATTTAATAAATAATACAGATAATATCAAGCCACGTGACTGATTTGATAAAGAAAATTCACGATTTTTATGATGACTCATGTCGCTGTTTTCGGGTATACTTTTCATTCCTTCTCTTTAAAATTTTTTATTATTTTATCATCATTATTATCTATTATTTTATTCTTACATAATAAAATTTATTTTTAATTCTTTTCACAAAAATAATCATAAAAAAAGTTCTTAATAAACTCCATTGAACAGTTCTCTTTCAAATTTGATGATTATAATTATAAATAAGAATATGAAGTAGTTGATTCTATATAATTGGTAAGAGTCTTTAAATCTTAATTTGATAGATCATCTTTAAAAGTAGAACAATAATAATAATGAGATGTTGTTTTTAAAATATTTTACCCAAATTTTTATTAGTTAAGCAAATAATGTAATAGCAGCGATAACTTCTTAATATAACATTTTTAATATATGCAAGTCTCGTTGAATAGAAGAAATTAATAATTGGTAGGATTAAATTGATTTATAATATACAAAAATAACGATTAATATAATAAATAATTGAATTTGATAATAAACATTTTTTTCATTTTAAAAAAAATTTAATTGCATGATGGATGGAACTAACATTGCAAATTTTCTCTGTCATTCATTTATAATTAGAATAATTTATTATTAGTTGATTTAAAAGTAATTCAATTATTTTGAATATATAGCAATTTTTAATATGACAGCAAGATGGCTTGTAAATCTATAGGTTTCCTTTAGGGATGTTAAACGGTCCCAGTCCCAAATGATTGTAAACAAATTTAGAAATTACGAGTTATTAGAAAAGTCTATCGCTTATCTATAATAAGTAACTCTTGATAAAAAATAGTTATAATAAACTTTATGAATAACTTTTAAAACTTTGAAATCGACAATTTTCATGGGACCGCCAAGGTGGGACCAGGACCGGGTCCTAAGTTTCAAAAATTAAAATTATGGATTCCCGCATTAAGTTAAAAGATATTTTTAATAAATATTCAATTAATAAATTCATTAGAAAGTAAAATATAACGCCAGTAAAATAAAAATCTTCTCTAGAACTGGCAAATTTATTGGGACTTTTAGGACCGTTTAGGACCGTTTAACATTCTTATAGGTCCAACTATTCTAAATTAGTTGAGAACAGGTCAAAACTTAATTAACTATATTATAGATATTAATTACTGGGATTTGGTTCGAAATCCGACACCCTAAAACCCGAATCCCATAATCCCGATAAATTCATAATCCCGAAATGCTATAATCCTGCTTCTATTAAATTAGAAATTAAAGATTATAAGTGCCAGCCAAAGCAGAATTATCGAGAAGAGGAGCAATTTAAACATTCCCGAATTTTCGCGAATAGCATTAATACCTTAATTTCTTCATCGCTATATTGATTATTTTTTTTCTTTTTTTCGACCATATAAATTTTACATTTAATATAATAATTTTCTTCAAACTAATAAAATGAAATTTTTGTATTAATAAATTTTCGGGATTGTTGGGATTATGACATTTCGGGTTTTAGCGTGTCGGGATAATGAACCATCGGGATTTTGAACTTGGGGATTTTGCTCGATTCCCCAATTTTTACTGAAATGTGTAAGTGGTATGTTATTACATTAATATTATCATATTTATTATATATATAAATCATTATAAAATTTTCTTTCTATTTTTTTTTTTATTAGTTTTTGCTAAAATCTCTTTCAGAATAAAAAAAAAAATATTCTATATCAGAAATGTTGAACTTGCTTATGTGAAAATACAATCTTTAATATTTGGTATAATTTTAATTATTACTTCGCAAGAATACTTATTATAATTTAATTGAGTATTTAAAAACGAAAATTAATAGGTCCTATTTATTACATACAGTAATAAATAAAAAGTAATGTACACATGTGCACATATTACACAACATAAAATGTGCACAAGTTATTACTAAAAGTAGATAAATTAAGTACAAAAAAGGTAATTTTACATAAGAAATTGTTATGATTTTCTTATTTTAGTAATAATTTATTAACTTGGGGATCAGCGTCCCTGACTCAGTAGTTAAACTGCAAGTCTCCTATAAGCTAGAGTTTTATTACACAGCGATAGGCTATTAGTTCAGGTATCAGTTAATAAAACTAGATAATAAACTGCATTGCACGCTACAGCATTAATTAATCATCATATCACTAGAGTCAGAGGTCAGGTTTAATTTCCAGATTGTTTGACGAAATAGATATAATGATCATCAACTAGTTCACCGTTTGGGCAAATCTTGTGATAATAATCACATAATCCTGCAGTATTAGTTAGATAATATATAAGTGGTAACGCTCCTATATGATCAAAAAATTCCTTTATCCATATTTGATATAAACCTAATCAAGCTGGTATTCTGTACTTCTAGGCATAAAGGTCAATATTGGTAAGAATCTTAAACACAGATAGCATGATTGGGATAGTGTAGTGAAAAGGTTGTTTCATTCTTAAATGTGATGTTAAGACCTAAGAGGTATATGTGTTTACTTTCCTTATGCCTTTAGGGTAACATGATGACTCTTTTACAATAATCATAACTTTACACACTATTAAGAAAAACAAAAAAAATAATTTATTAACTTGTACACATAAATTTAACTTAGATTTTATACACTGTAGATTATATGATTTACTATATCTTGTATTTCAATTTTAATAGCATACATTTATATCATTCTAATTATCAATCCTTTACATGTTTCTTTAAATTCTATGAAATAGTTTTAATATTAAATTATGATTTTTTTAAAATTATATTATAAGATTTATATAAAAAGAAACAGCTAGCAAAGAAACCTAAATTATATAGAATTAATTTATTATTAGAATTTATTACTACTAAATGAAATCCAATAAGAATAAACATAATAGAAAAATTTGAAATTGTAAAAATATTAAAATAAGATATTTAATAGATCTTTTAGACAATATTATTTATAAGTTTTAGATTTTTATTTTATAATATTTTAAAGTAATCATTGGTTAATATATATAGATGCAATATTTATATTTAATTCTTTTTTTTAGATGTGATTAAATAAATTATAATAAGCTTTTACTAGTTTTTTTTAGTAATGTATTTTACTAGTTCAATATGTATTACTTCAATAAAAACTAAGTAGTATTGACTTTAAAATCTTCAAATAACTGGATTTTAACTAAATTACTATTTTAAATTTGATATAATATAAAAACATTATGAAATTTTCAAATATAAATTTCAAATTTAGTTGAATGAGATTCTGATAACTTTTTTTTAGTAAAATTTTATAATTAATTAAAAAATTTTTAAAATTATTTGTTAAATATTAAATATTCATTATATAAATATGCTTGCTAAATTTAAATAAGAGTTGTAATAGCTAAGTCAACTGAAAAAAAGTCTAATAATTGACTAAGTTAATTTCAGAATTTATTATGGTTAGTAGGGTTTCTCAAAATCAAATCAAATCAAATATTGAAGCAATTTGATCAAATCAAATCAAATCAAATATAAAATTTTTTTTAATTATTATAATGATATATTAAAATAAAGTTTTAATTAAGAAAATCATTAGTAATTGCACTAAAAAATTTCAAAGATAGCTTTTATAAAGTAAGTTAGTAACAGGTGCATTTATATTAAGAAAAACATAGTAAAAAACGCCTCTGCAGCTTCAGAAATGTTTTTTTTACTAAGAAAACATAGTAAAAAGCATTTCTGAAGCTGCAGAAGCGTTTTCTACTATGTTTTCTTAATAAAAAACGTCTCTAAAGCTGCGGAGGCGTTTTCTACTATGTTTTACTAAGTAAAAAAAGCATTTTCGAAGCTGCAAAGGCGTTTCTACTATGTTTGACTTAATAAAAAAGCATTTCTGAAGCTGCGAAAGCATTTTCTACTATGTTTTACTTAGTAAAAAGCATTTTCGAAGCTGCGAAGGCGTTTTTAACTATGTTTTTCTTAATAAAAAAGTATTTCCAAAGCTGCGGAGGCATTTTTTACTATGTTTTCTTAGTTAATAACATCTCTAAAACTTTAGAAATGGTTTTACTATTGATTCAAATCAAATCAAATATTTGAATAGTTGATTTGAATTTGATCGAATTGAATTAAATATAAATTTGTAATTGTATTTGATTTGATTTTCAAATCAAATATTCAAATATCAAATCGAATTGCGAAACTCTAATTATAACTATTTATTTATAATTATTATTATAATTATAATTTTTAATTAATTAATAATGTTTATTTTTATTTTAGAT